CTGTCAACCCCATCTCATCCTCTTGAATTCCCTAAGACCATCTAAGTCAACACCAAGTCCCAACATCCTCAAGTGAACTTCCTCTGTCAACCCCATCTCATCCTCTTGAATTCCTTAAGACCATCTAAGTCAACACCAAGTCCCAACATCCTCAAGTGAACTTCCTCTGTCAACCCCATCTCATCCTCTTGAATTCCCTAAGACCCATAAGTCAACACCAAGTCCCAACATCCTCAAGTGAACTTCCTCTGTCAACCCCATCTCATCCTCTTGAATTCCCTAAGACCATCTAAGTCAACACCAAGTCCCAACATCCTCAAGTCACCCCCTTCTTTTGGACCCCCTCAAACGGGGGCGAGGTGACACCGCAAAGCAACGACCCACCGGTCTACACCGGTCTACACCGGGCCCCACCGGTCGGAACCTCGGAACGTCGGCTTTCGGAGGGACTAAGACGGACTGGACCTTGACGTATCATGACGCGTGACGTGATCGGATTCTTATGATCATTGAATGATCGGATCATCCCCCACTTTTTTTCGCCCCTTGCAGCCCATTGCTGATGCCAAAGCAGGAAGTGTAAAGTCTCGAGTGAATTGCCAAAGCCTGGCCGGTCCCATTCCCTTCTCCGAGGGTCTCCGCTGGGTAAGCGCCGGTAGCTCTTCGCCTGGACATGTGGGACCCATCGATGAGTGGAAGTCAGAGCAAATGGCACTGGCACCCCGAGATGTCTGTTATATAGGAGTCCATATAGCATCATCATGTAATCTAACTTGGGGATTGTGCCATCTACTCTGAAACCACTTGTATGGATTACACCACGAGCTGGGAACTTTTCCTTGGGCAAATCTGAGTTGGTTGGAAACCAAAAAGAAACCTCCTGCAAACTTTGGGAGCTTTTGCTAGGGTTTCACGCTGAGATGGTCAACAAACAGGGACGGAGCTATGCATCTGCATGCATGATCTAAACCCAAGACTTGGAGACCCCCATCACACCACCACCACACTGGCCACACCCTGAGAATGACACCCTGAAACCGTTTTTCATTTTGACCCTGAAAAATAGCTTTCTCTACAAACATCTACCAACCAGTGGTTTTCAAGGGTTTTCAGCTTCCGTGCGAGGCCTCTTCCAGGGTGTACCCGTCCAGTTGTTCTTCGCTCCGACTTGCCTGAGGTTCCTGCTCTTCACCCTCCACCTGGGCGGTACTGTGGGATGCGGGCGGAAGATCTAGGAAGATAGGTGGGGAACACACACCCTCTGACAACCAACATCCTGACAGAGGGTGTGTATTCCCCACCATCCTTGGGGGAAAAACAATGAAAAAAAAAAAAACCATCCTGACAAGTCACACGTCCCCCCTGACAAGTCGTTACGTCCCAAATACTCGGTCAAACCGGTGGCTGCCCGGCATCGCAGCTGCCCCCGTCCGGACTGGTGGAGAACCCATGGAAAGCGGCCAGCCGTGAAGGCCAGCAATGGGACCTTGGAACACCTGTTGCCATGGAAGCCATGGAAGCCCGGCATTCAAGCATATGATCGTTGGTGGTGTGCTTTTTGGTGGCGCAGCAGCAATCATAGTCTTCAACAGACTGGCTCTTATGGCAACGGCACGCAAACAACATGAACACCTACATCATCGATTGGGAAGCTGGTAAACACAGTATCAAAGCAAGCCGATACAAACAGGTCGCGTAGCAGTGCTTGTGGAAGGGTTTAAACGATGGACAGCTCTTGGTGTGGGCTGTAGGTGATCTGTTAAGGTCTTGTTGGATGGTAAAGCCACGCGATGGCAGGTCTGTTAAGGTCTGTTGGTGAGCCTAGCATGTGGCTCCGGACTGCAGGTTGTGAGGGTGGAAGGCAGGGACCTGCTCAAAATGCACTCACCCATTCCACGCCAGCCCAAGTGGCAGGAGGCTCCGCGGGTCTGGGACCAGCAGGCTTGGAGGCCTAGCCCGACCCCCCAGCGAGGTAGAGACATGTAGAGACCAAGTGTTGGCAGGTGTAGTAAGTGTAGTATAGCCCAAACACTCCATGTATGCCATATATGCCTACATTGACCCCTCAAAACCCACCCCTGGCCTGGTCGGCAGTCGGCAGTCCCAGACCGGGTCGTGTCTGGGTAGTGTAATACACCTGTTTGGGATTAGATGTTCAGCCCGCCCTTCTTCCGGTGCATCTGTCATCATCATCATCATCCAATCGTGTCCTGAAGAGGTCTACTCATCTCCACGCCCCTGTCCATAGAAAAGACTCGAGGTCGAGGTCGGATCAGTTTCATCCCACGAGCCATGACCGGCAAAACTTAAGCCTCATTCCACACTGTATACTCCAAGCCTTTTGAGCAGTTCTCTGCGATCTAGTCAGATTACTCACCATAGTGAACAACAACAACAAAAACCACAACCACAACCACACACAACACCTACTACTACTACTACTACTACTACTACTCCTACTCCTACTCCTACTCCTACTCCTACTCCTACTCCTACT